TTAGGCTGCTGCCCGGCAGCGCTGTGCGCCGCGACGCTGGCTCGGGCAGGGAGGCCAAGCCTTTGGCCACGAGCTCCCCTCTTCCACCGCAGTGGAGATCTTGGGCGGTGAAGATCCTACCAATTCCCCGTGTCCCCCAGTGGCACACAAAGCTTGGGCTTTGCAGCTATCATCTTACCAAACCTAATCACAGACTTTCCGCTGCTGGCACGCAGTGACAAAACCATATTCTGTGCGGCAGGAGCTAGTGCATGCAGCTGTGGAGCCCGCCTGCTTCTCTCTCCTAAGTTAACCAAGAACCAGAGGCAGATAGCTGATGCCACCTCCCTCTTTCCATCTGTACAAAGCAAAGATTGGGTGCTACCTGCTCGGCCTCTGCCATCACTATCGGTGGTGGTTTCCCTTGCAGCAATCTGCCCGTCCCTACGAGCATGACCTCGTTTTGCAAGTTACTTAACCAGCTGAAATCCTGTGTCCCATATCGTTGCTCCAGGCGGGCAACCTTCAGCAAACAAGAGCTTTCCTGCAGGTTTCCAGATCCTTCGGTATTTTTCCCATTGCCTTGGGCAAATTTATAGCAGCAAGCCTGGGCAAGCAAAAACCACCACCGATTTTAGGGGCTAGAAAGGACAGTGAAAGCCACAAAGGTCAGTCAGTTCACCAGCTTCCACCTCTGACCAGTGTATGGAGAGCAAACAGATAACACACACAACGGCACAATGTTTGATAATACCTGATAAGACGAAAGAGTGCGTAAGAGTGACTGGATACAGGGCCCGGTCACATGGCTGGGGACAACCTTTCCCAGCACGTGTCCCTCTACTCTTGGCACATTTGGGGTCGCACAGGAGACACGGTCAAAGGCGAGGTGAGACTGATGCCTGCTGCTAAAGTGGGGAATCCCAGAGCATGGGGGGGGCACGGGAGAGTGACTTTTGCTCATAAAGTCGCCATTAAACTTCATGCCAACAAAGAGGGCTAGAAGCCTCTTTGAAGCTCCTAAGAGAAACCTTAGGTGATGGAGAACCAGTGGCAAGAACAACGAAAGAAGCGTAACAGCAAGCCCCTCGGGCGAGAGAGGAGCTGTGATTCCACCGTTCCTCCAAAGGAGATCTTTCCCTGGGTCACAAGCATCAGCCAAACGTGAACGCTGCCCCAGACCTGCAGCTAAGCACGTGCTGAAACATCTCCCTGGATTGAGGCCTTCATCTTTACAAGAACATCACAATCAGATGATCGTACAAACAACTTGCCAGCCCAGTTGAATCAACTGGATTTTCTATATGAACAACCACCCCTTCCAGACAAATAACTTCAAGCAGTGGACAAACATTTCGAAAAAATGCCTCTACCTCACAACAGGCTTATTAAAATACAAAGTGGAGCTCTTGCCTTTTCACAGAGGCACAAAGCAATTAAACGGCCTGCACAAGGTCACACAGCCATCTGCAGCAGAGATTAGGACAGATAAAGACCTTTGGACTCTCATATCTGATCTTTAAACTGAAATCTGTCCCTTTCATCTCCTCTAACAGCCTTAATCTTACTCACTTTTCCAGGCTTTTAATCAGCAACCTTTTATAAACGGAGATGGCAATATTACAGCACTGCTGAAAACATTATCACTGCCAAACCCAGCCAGGACACCTACGCTGCTGGGAACGTACATGGGAATACCCATGGGCTTTTGGCATTTCATTGTGATTTACCATCTGAATAACGCTGGCACCTATGCGGTATTTCCTTAATAACATGATGCACTTCAAAAAAATCACTGTTGGTGAAGAATGAGGCGTATCGAAGGTATACTGGGTAATCGTGACCAGGGTACAGTGGCGGCAGGGGGGGCGGATTTGGGATTTGTCTCAGGCTTGGCGTGCTGCCAGGATGCTCGGGAGCGCCGCTGCCGCCGGCGGCACCGCTCTGCCGTTCGTGCGCGGCGCCGGCGCGGAAGCGCCCAGCGCCCTCGGCACAGATCAATGAGCGAAGGCACGTGCACACTGCTGGAACGACTCCTTCGGCAAATTGCTTTGACAGCGAAGGGTAAAGCAAACAGATTGCACGCAAGCAATGAGAAAATCCCCACTGCTCTGCCGCTGAGCAAACAGAGGTGCTGATTACCTGGGGAGAGTGCACTGTACGCGTAAGGTGCTGTGCACGTACGTAGAGGTAATGCTTCAGCCTGGCCACTACGCCAACGTGTTATCAGCAACACCTCGCCTTGTTTTACTGTTTTCGTAATTACTAACCATCCCCGTGCCTTTTACAAAGGAAATGAGCACTATCAGCCTCATTTTACAGACGGGAGCTGAGGGGCGAAGGAGGGACGGATACACACGGGCCCACGTGTGATGTGCATACAGCAGGGCACGTCCACCCAGAGCCACGGCTGCTTCCTCGACAAGAGGAGCAAGGGGTAAAACCAGGCTTGGGCTTCCCCTCTGTACCCCAACCCTGATCACAGGACCAGGGCACTCGCACATAAAACTTACAAAAAGAATACAAATGGTGTAAAGAAAGATGAAACCCAAATTAAAATCTTTTGTAACCCAATACACATTCAAGTGCTCCTGAACTTCCAATCAAATAACAGAGGTCTAAAACCATCTGGAGAACTGTGTGAGAAAAAGCCATCATATTGTGCGGAGTTTTCCTGTTTTGTACGGCCTGAAGTGACTGCAAAAGTCATCTGAACCAAATTAACTCTCCCAGCAAGGGAATCGCTCTTGGAGCGCTGGCGGTAAGCGCTCTTCACCTCTCCTCCGCAACGGGGAGCCACAGCTTCCTCCCCGGCTCCGATGCGTGCACGTGGCCGTTTCTTTGGTTCCCCCTCATCGGCCTGGCTCGTAGGGCTCGTCTTCACTCCTGACGCTGAACCCTCTTCCTTAGCGTTCCCTACAGCGTGCAAAATCTGCTTGCATTTCTTTGCCAGCTTTAGGCACACAAGCCCGCGGGGCCAGCAGCTCTGCGGCTCCAGCCCCATGGTCACGGCGCAACACGGGTGAAGCACCGTAGCTTCCTGGTGCTTCCACACCGTAAATTCCACTTTTCTGG